TTCACAGGAGAGAGAGAGAGAGAGAGAGAGAGAGAGAGAGAGGAGAGAGAGAGAGAGAGAGAGAGAGAGAGAGAGAGAGAGAGAGAGAGAGAGAGAGATACAGATACAGATACAGATACAGAGAGAGAGAGAATGAGAGAGAAAGAGACAGTGAAACAGAGAGAGAGAAAGGAAGGAAGAAGTGAGAGGGAAGAAGTGAGTGAGAGGAAGGGCGTGTGATCTGTCCAAAAATTCCAACTTTCACGCATTATTTCGCTCCCTCGACGACTGTCACCATCATCATCATCTCCAACTCGGGAATCAGAAGGGTGTCTTCATGCACGAAATATGGGGCTCTTGATTGGGGGGGGGGGAAAGTTGGGGAGAGAAGAGTACCGTTTTTTTCGTGATTATTTAGGAATGGGGTGTTTTTATGGGCAAGTACGCGAAGATGTATGCGGAACAGCACGCGACATATGTCCGCACGAATCGCATGCAATCACGCACCTAGCATACAGGACTTAGCTTTGTAAATAGTAGTTTGTGTGTGTGTGTGTGTGTGTGTGTGTGTGTGTGTGTGTGTGTGTGTGTGTGTGTGTGTGTGTGTGTGTGTGTGCGCGGGGGCCAGAAATCCAATAAAAAAACCTTTGCATTGTTTGCCAGGACTTACCTATACAGCAGTTCCCGTACCCAAAAGCACAGGTAGTGGTGGGCGTGCCTCCGAGGCGATGACAGTTCCTCCGCAACATGCAGACGCCCACACGCCCCTCGCCGCCCACGCACTGGCCGCCCCCGCCCTCAGTCAACATGCGGAAGAGCTCGTCGAGAGAGAACCCTGGCGACGGAGGCGGAGGCAAGGGGGGAAGGGAGACGCAGTTAGAAATGTGATGACAGGAGAAAGATAAAAGAAAGATGAAGAAAAAAAATCGATTTAAGTATAACTGTTGTATAAGATTCAAGAATGTCTGTTTAGAAGGACAACTTCCTATCAAGATTTTGCATGAGGTTCGAGATATTGCTTGAGAAGGAGAGCTTTCCATCCGGCATCGCTTTCGTATAGCGTTCAAAGACGGCCGTTTTAGAAGGACGACCATCAGATAAAACTTATTTGGATTTCGAGTCATGATATATAAGTTTTATCTGATGGATCTGATGGCCGTCCTTCTAAAACATCCGTCTTGAACGCTATACGAAAGCGATACCGGATTTCGAGTCATAATATATGTCATTTCGGGAGGACGACGCCGCCGGCCCGACCGATATTCCCGGTGAAAGTCTCCTTTTCGCAACTCACGTGGCGGGGGAGGAAAAGCTTTTATTCATTTCTACGAACAATGGTTACTAACACCTTGGCCGTCGAGGTGGAACGTACGGCAGGAGGTCCTGGGGCGGCGGGAGGACGGCGGGCTCTTCGTAGAGGGTGGTGGGCGGTGGGTGCGGGGACCAGTAGGTGGGCGGCGGGGTGGGCGTGGGCTGGGGCCGCGGAGACCAGTAGGTGGGCTGCGGGGTGGGCGTGGGCTGGGGCCGCGGGGACCAGTAGGTGGGCGTCGGGGCGGTGGCGGGCGCGGCGCTGGGCTTCCTGGGTCGGAATCGCGAGGGCACCTTCTTGGGCGGCGCGGGGCCCAGCTTGAATGGGTCCCTGTCCTTGTGGCCAAAGGGGGGCTTCGCGAGCGCCCCGGAGAACGCGTCGGTGTGGGCGGGGCGGGGCGGCGAGGGCGTGTAGTCGGTGGTGGGCGGGTCGAGCGTGACGCGGGGCTCCGTGCTCACCCACCAGCGCGTCCTCTCCGACTCCCT